CAAGCTGCATGTCTTTGGACGGTGGGAGGAAGCCGGAGTACCCGGAGAGAACCCACGCAAACACGGGGAGAACATGCAAACTCCACACAGAAAGACCTGATGGTGGAATTGAACTCAGGACCTTCTTGCTGTGCAGCACCAGTGCTAACCTTCTTTTACCCGTTTGTTAAAAATTATTTCAGCTACTTACACTTTAATTGTCACATGTATTGGCTCACCCTACAAATCAATGAACTCAGTCCACAAAGCAAGATCAGGGTTCAGTGCAGGTCAGTCAAGTTCCTTCACACCACACACGCTCATCCATGTCCTTGTGGACCCTGTTTTGTGCAATGATTTGGTCGTGTGAGCCAGTATTTTGGACAAAGTGTATATAAAGGCAGACGTGTGGGGCTTGATATTATATCCATTACAATTCAGTTTATTTGTATGGTGCCAACAAAATGAATGCCAAGGCACTTCACATTGTAGGTTTGAGACCCTACAAAATATAAGTAAGGAAACCCAACACTTGAGCATGTGTTGTCTGCCATGATATGGATATGACATAATATCGTTATTGTTTGTACAACCATCTGAGAAAATAATGGATTACATGGTTTAGTAAAAACAAGTGCTTCCTCAATGAAAATATGTTTTCAGTTCTTTTCAGTTTTGATTTTGGAAATGTGTATTTCAGCAGGGAAAATCAGAATTGAAATAAAGTGGTGCAAAGCACATGAATTATATTTTGTGTGTGTGTGTGTGTGTGTCTATCCATCCATCCAATTTTTTTGGAACCCTCCAGTCTCTTACAGTATGTTACTGTTAACTGAAATTACGGTAAATTACGACCTGTTAAAAGAGTAAATGACCGCCTGTTGGGACACGGTGTCCTCTAGCAGAGATAATTTTTGGTACTGATGATGCGGATAACGGTAAGTTACTGGTAATATATTGCAGTTTATTACCTTGCAGCGGGCTACAGTGACATACCGTGAATAAGCGGTAGTATACCAATTTCTTAATCACAGTATGATGTTACTTTGTTGACGTAATTTACGACATAACGACATACGGTATCTCACTGACATAACTGTCGCCAGTGAGATACCGTAAAAAAGGCTACGGTGCGTTACCATAATTTGTCCAAGAGTATTATACCACACCAGCAAAAAACGGTATCATCCTGCAGAAAGGTAAGCTAGCGTAACACGGCGTCACGGTATGACGCTGGCAGCAGTGACGCCAGTATGTTACCGTAAAGTGGCGATGAAAAGTCTAACAGTGCAGATTCACGGAGTAATCAGAAAAGTTTAGCATGAATCTGGACATTAGATTTAAGATTTAAGCTTATCAGATATCACTTGTTAGAAGCTCCTTACCGTTTGAAGAAATTCTTCTCATTGCTGTCCTCTTCTGCTTGCATCTTTTTTTTTCATCTAACACTGACGTTATTCCATGTTAATTATTTTTTCTCCGTGAAAAACACAGCAACTCATCTTATCCCGGGGTGCCAGGAAGTCGAGCTGCGGATCTCAGCAGAAAACTTTTCAAACTGATTTCAGGTTGATCCAGGTATACATTTGAAACAGGTTCTCCTCTGTCACGTGACAGTCGGAACGAATCTGCGTAACCATGGTTACAGGGGACCCTTTGGAGCTCCGCTGCTCAGCAGCAAAATATTTCAGATCAATATGTAAATACTCCAACTCTAAAACCAAGTAAAATAAATATGCTGTATATGTGTATAGTGCGTTCGTGTGTGTGTGCGCTGCGTGGTAACGTAGGCGCGTGCATGTGTGCCCCGGTCACAGCTCCTTTCAGCATGGCCGGAGGTAAGTCACTGCCACGTTGCTCTCAGCTAATTAAAGTTTGTTCAGATCCCAAGCTGCAATGTGAATACAGCCAAACCGCCGCGTTTTTGTTTGTCATTAAGAGACTCATTCGGGATAAGTTTTGTGGAGGGCGGAGTTCACTAATATACACTTATAATGAGTTTTAGCCGAGAACGCAGCTAAAATGCTAGCATGCTAAGTTAGCCTGATTGCTAGCGGCTACTCGCGGCAGTCTTTTTTTAACAGCATGCACTCTTTTTTTCCTTCGTCAGGAGAGGTGTACTGGCAGTCGCGTGACACACACAGATCAGACACATATTTCTGTGTTGCAGGTATGGAGATGTTCTTATGTTTTGGAGATGCAGTCTTTCAGTCATTGTTTTTATAAGTACAGTGTTGTACTGCCTGTTAGATGGCGGTTATTAATATAATTGTACTGAAGTATAATGTTTGAACTATAAGTACCAGAATATTGGGTCCTGGTTATTGAATTGTATTTATCTGACTGTTTATTTGTTTTTGAATTATTTTGTTTATTGTTCTTATAAGTTGTTTTTGATGTTTTTTCAGTGACATATTATTTATTTTGTGCTTTTGTTTTTGAGAGCTTAAGTTAATGTTTAAAACAATTTGTTGTATTTGATTCATTATATTATTGTAGTGTTAATGAAGCTGCAGACACAGCTGCTTTCAGCATGGCCGGAGGAGAGGTGTACTGGCAGTCGCGTGACACACACAGATCAGACACATGTTTCTGTGTTGCAGATGTGCAGTAAAGAGCCAAAGACCCATACTGTCTCCTGCCTCTTACTTTCACGCCAGAACACAACGCAAGAACAACAGGCGTAACACATGAACGGGTTACACATACTGAGGTGAGTTGTTGAGGATATGTCGAGCTGTCGATAAGCACGGCTGTTTTTGTGCTCTTATATACTGTTAGCCTGTTTTGCTGGCGTTAGTGAAGCTGTTTTCAACTGGATGTAACATTGTTGAACTCTGATGATTAATGAATAAACTCTCGATGTGACGACGTGAGCATGTAATTGTAACCCTGTGTTCATTTAGTCGTTTGATACCGTTTAATATCCAGTACATCTATTGGGTGTTTATAACATGCCCTGGAATCATTTTAAGTTTTACAATGCCGGTGATTTACGACTCTTTCGCGACAGTCAACTGTGGCGTAAACTCTGGCGGGTCTCAGAGCTAGCTTATGTGAGCCAGCAGTGACATCTATACATGCAGTAGCCTTAAAATACTGATTATTTATTCTCCTGCTAGGTAAGAATTTGTGTTTTATACATTTATTGTCACATTGTGCGCCATGTTATTGTTTCGGTGAAATGAATTTCTACAATGGCGGACTTAGACAAAATAGTGTTACTGTTAATTTGACTCTCTGCAGTGTTTAAATGCTTACATATACACACACAGTTACTGTCCCTCCACACGTAGGACTCAGTTCTGCTTCTATGCCCCATCTTTGTTTACTCTTTCCCACCCAACAAGTGCATAAATAAGATGTTAAAAACGTCATCATCATATCAAACATGATCGATTTGGGGGGAGTTTGTTTGGCACATGCTGACTGCATCTAATTATAATCAGAAGAGGAGGCGAGAGCAGAGAACGAGAGTGCAGCAGTTTGGTGAAAGGAACAGGTGAAGAAGAGGTGAGCATCCAAGAGACGAGCAAGAGGACGGTTTCAAAGCAGACATTATGGCACAATAAAAGCTGTAAGAGCAGAGATTCATTCATATCTTTACTATTTTTCTTTAGCTTTTACTCCCGCTGCTTACAATAAATCCGAGATAAAGAACAAACAAGAACAACTCACATGGCATTGATTGTTTAGTTCAGTGTCACTCTGTGATTGTTTGACATTTCATATAAATGTGACTCTAAAATATAGCCAATAATAAAAAGCTGCTGTTACTGAGTGAAACTTGAAGGATTATGATAAACTTCAGTTCTTACTGAATCTGTAACATTGCTTTTTTTTTAAATTGTTAAATGACTTTTGTGTCACTGTGCACAGTGAAAAGCTCACCTGATGTAGTGGTGAGGCCATGTTCACCACTAGATGGAGACAACCTGGCACAGGTATTTTCTATACACTAAATTCACACTGAAAAGCCTTGGTGGGAATTTTGTTTCATAGAAAGTAAAGGAAAACATGTCTTGAGGTCTTTTTCCAGTGTTTTCAAAATTGTGTTTTTCACATACACATCAAAACTTCACACAGACAAACACACACACAAAACAACAAAATATGTCAAATTACATATTTTGTTGACTATTTTGTTGACTATGCACCCCTACCCATAATAAATGGGTAGGGGTGCATAGTCAGTAAAAGTCACCAAGGCTCTGCAGAGCTCCAAACCTGCTCTGCCACAGACAGAAGCATCAAAAATGTGCGCTGGGAGCTTCATGGCATGGATTTCTACAGCCAAGCAAATCTATATGTGTGTGGCCAAGAACCTTAGTCCATGTAGGGCATCTTAGCACAGTTTACTTGTGTCAGCTAGTGGGAGGGCAGAGAGGGCAGCCTTTACATTGTTTTATTGTAGAGTGACAGGAACTGCCTATGAGCTTCTAATCAAGCAGAAGTGTTGACGGAAAATCTATCAAAGGAAATACATTGATGAAAATCAAAGAAGAGAAATATTTATGTGATGTTCCATTTTCCTGAGAGCTGATTGGCTGTGATGACTCCTTCAAGTACTACATGCTACTTTGTCCTGCTAGTTAAGCCTGCTGTCTGTTCTCAGGCCTCCTCCTGTTTCACTGCCATATATCCACCACCAGAGGGCTCCACTGACCTGCCTGCTGACATCAGAGCACACCCCTGTGTCATGTGACCTGGCAGGAGTAGCAAAGCTGGACTCAGACCTGGCCCAGGCAAGTTCAAAGGCAGCTGTGGTAGAGAGAGTATATGGGCTCAAATTGTGGTCATAAATATTTTGTACTTGTAAATCAGGATTTGTGTGTGTATGGGATCAGAACAATGCCACCTTGAAATGAAACCGAAAAAAATATTGAAACTGAAAAAAATATTGAAACTGAAATAAATGTACAGCGCGGCTGCAGTCACGGACAAACTTGCATGTGTCTGTTCGGGAATGGCAGATGCTGAGAGGTCCAGCGTTTACATTACCGGCTATTTCAAAGTGACAGCCTGAGGTGTTCTTCAGTAAATTGGACTACCAGACAGGAGGACCTGAGGCCCCAGCGTATTCTTTTCGGTAAGTTAAATGTGTGTGTAAGCTAATCCGTAACTTAGGTCCTTAGGTGAGCACTCGGCTGTCGGGGAAACTTGTTTTGTAAAGTTCGTTTAGCTAACCCGTGCAGGTGAATGAATTTACCCTGACTAAAGAAATCAAGAGAAACGCACCGGGCTGCTCAGTGACTAACCACGCTTACTGTACTTTCTTTATGAGCAACAGGCTGGACTCTGCTTCTGCTCCTGTGCAGAGCTGATTATTAAATATGTGCAAACAGCAGCATGTTTTCTGTCGCTTTCCACATGTGGAACGACATTAACGCCAACTTTTAAAAACCTGGCACTTCAGTAACCCCTCATTAGTCAATAGCTACGGATTAAATAGCAAAGCCCGATACTTATGTACTGAAACCAACTACTTCCGCTTGGCAGCTTAAGTTAAAATGTTACATTTTCCCCTGATTATTTTTTTAGCACTGACTCTGTATATTTTTTGTTTGTTGCAAATATTCAGGTTAAAAAACTGTCCGAATTATATTTAATGAGGTATGTTCACAAAGTCACATGTGCAGTACTCTGTATAGCTTGCATCCTTTAGGACAAATAATTTGAAGCATTAATATTTCTTGTTCAATACTGAGCTGATAACACCTCCGTATTGTCATGGCCCTGGGTCATGTGACCCAGTATTCTGAGTTTCTTGGTGTTTTGTTATTCTTTTTAGTCTAGTTTCATTTCGGTTTATCTAGTTCAGGGGTGCCCAATCCCGGTCCTCGAGAGCTACCGTCCTGCAGCTTTTAGATGCATCCCTACTCCAACACAGCTGAATCAAATGGTTTGATTACCTCTTCAGCATGCCATCGTGTTTGGCAAAGGCCTGATAACAAGCCATTCATTTGATTCAGCTGTGTTGGAGTAGGGATGCATCTAAAAGCTGCAGGACGGTAGCTCTCGAGGACCGGGATTGGGCACCCCTGATCTAGTTACATTCTGCCATGTTTCATGTCCAAGTTTTCTTTGTTTGTCAAGTTCATGTCACGTCTAATCTCCATGTTTTCTGTTTTACTTTGAAAGTCTGTATTCAATGTCAGTGTATTCAGTTTCATTTCTCCTGTCCTGTCGTTAGGTTCATGTGTGTCAGCTGTGCTCCCATGTGTGGCCACTTCCCCTGATCATCCCTCATGTGTATTTAGTCTCTGTGTTTCATACAGTCTGTGTCGCGTCGTCTGTGTACTTCCCCCCGGTCAAGTTAAGTGTTTTTCAGGATTCTGTGCAGTTCATGTTTGCCATTTGGTTTATGTTGTTTTTCATGCAGCCGCACGATGAGGTTCCGTGCAGGTCATGTTCATGTCTCTTTCGTCACGCCACTTGGTTCACAGTTTCCATGCATCTGCACAGCATTCTGTTCACAGTGATCATAGTTATGCCTTTCAGTCAGGTTAGTGTTTTTCCAGTTTAGGTTTTTGGTTAGTTGCAGTCTCAGTCCCTGTTATGTTTTGTCTACTCCCTTCTGCATCAGCCCAAATAAAGGCTCGCTTTCAGTTTAAGTTTTCCTTAAAGTGTCCTTAAGTGTCCTTCCCAGCGCTCATGAGACTGCTTTGCTGCACTGTGGTATGAGGTGCTAACCTGTTGACAGTGTTAATTTTAAAATGTATTCCACCAAAGATAATAGAAGTAACATATTCTGAATACTTTACAACTACATGAATATCCTATTGCTGTGTGATTTATTACTATTACCGAAGGTTACTCTCCATACCAACACCAACTAGATGTTTAAATCTTAATATAAATGAGTAACAGTAGGTGCACATTAGGTAAGGCTGCACTTTTTGCAGTGATCTCGTAAATAAAACAGGTCCGCGGCTCCGAACCGTAGTAAAGGGACCTCTGGCTAATACGTTGGGGTCTTTTTTTTTTTTTTTCCTGGATCACCTGTTGAGAAAGAAAAAGAAAACAAGCAGAAGAAGACTAGAGCAATAAAATAAACAACACCATGATGATCTATGGGAATATAACAGTAAATACTAAATGTTAAACATTATTGTGCAGCACGTAAGATCGACAGCGCACAGTGTGCTTTAAGGTAGGAGCCAAAAAGGAGCAGAGCAGCGGCGTTAAGGACGTCCTCGCCGTACCTGGGTCCATCAGGTCCTCCAGACGCGTGAGCAGTTTGGTGAGTTTCACCATTTGCTCCAGGAGCTGCGCCTGGATGACGGCAGATTCCAGCAATACCACCGTCTTTCACTCGCCCAGTTTGAGGACCTGCTGTCCCGCGTTGGTCCCAGCATTGCCCGCCTTGACACCAACTACAGACGCTCAATCCCACCTGCAGAGCGCCTGTCCATCTCCCTGAGGTTAGTAAAAGTGTTTAATACGGTAGTCCTTTATTGATACCTGTGCTAACATGGATGTGCTATGCTATCAATGAATGCTGTCGGTGTTTACTGATAGCAAGCTGTGGTACGGAGACGACTGTTTATAATATTTCTAGTGATACTCGGGTCTCATCAAGTCCCGATTTACAGTGGGGCAAAAAAGTATTTAGTCAGCCACCGATTGTGCAAGTTCCCCCACTTAAAATGATGACAGAGGTCAGTAATTTGCACCAGAGTACACTTCAACTGTGAGAACAGAATGTGAAAAAAAAATCCATGAATCCACATGGTAGGATTTGTAAAGAATTATTGGTAATCAGGGTGGAAAATAAGTATTTGTCACCTCAACAAGAAAATCTCTGGCTCTCACAGACCTGTAACGTCTCTTAAAGCTTTCTGTCCCCACTCGTTACCTGTTGAATGGCACCTGTTGAACTCATCATCTGTAAAAGACACCTGTCACAGCTCAAACAGTCAACCAAACCCGCCATGCCAAGAGCAAAGAGTTCGAAGACACAGAAAATATGTAACTGCACAGACTGGAAGAGTGAATCTACAAAGGCAAGCAGCTTGGTGTGAAAAAATCAACTGTGGAGCAACATCAAAAATGAAGACATACAAGACCACTGATAATCTCCTCGATCTGGGGCTCCACGCAAGATCTCATCCCGTGGGGTCAAAATGATCATGAACCACACGGGGGGACCTGGTGAATGACCTGCAGAGAGCTGGGACCAAAGTAACAAAGGTCACCATCAGTAACACACTACAACGGCAGGGAATCAAATCCCGCAGTGCCAGACGTGTTCCGCTGCTGAAGCCAGTGCATGTCCAGGCCCGTCTGAAGTTTGCCAGAGAGCACATGGATGATACAGCAGAGGATTGGGAGAATGTCATGTGGTCAGATGAAACCAAAGTAGAACTTTTTGGTATAAACTCAACTCGTCGTGTTTGGAGGACGAAGAATACTGAGTTGCATCCCAAGAACACCATACCTACTGTGAAGCATGGGGGTGGAAACATCATGCTATGGGGCTGTTTTTCTGCCAAGGGGACAGGACGACTGATCCGTGTTAAGGACAGAATGAATGGGGCCATGTATCGTGAGATTTTGAGCCAAAACCTCCTTCCATCAGTGAGAACTTTGAAGATGAAACGAGGCTGGGTCTTCCAACATGACAATGATCCAAAACACACCGCCCGGGCAACAAAGGAGTGGCTCCGTAAGAAGCATTTGAAAGTCCTGGAGTGGCCTAGCCAGTCTCCAGACCTCAACCCCATAGAAAATCTGTGGCGGGAGTTGAAAGTCCGTGTTGCTCGGCGACAGCCCCAAAACATCACTGCTCTCGAGAAGATCTGCATGGAGGAATGGGCCAAAATACCAGCTACTGTGTGTGCAAACCTGGTAAAGACCTATAGTAAACGTTTGACCTCTGTTATTGCCAACAAAGGTTATGTTACAAAGTATTGAGTTGTATTTTTGTTATTGACCAAATACTTATTTTCCACCCTGATTTACGAATAAATTCTTTACAAATCCTACCATGTGGATTCATGGATTTTTTTTTCACATTCTGTCTCTCACAGTTGAAGTGTACCTCTGGTGCAAATTACTGACCTCTGTCATCATTTTAGGTGGGGGAACTTGCACAATCGTTGGCTGACTAAATACTTTTTTGCCCCACTGTAATTCGATTTATGCCGTTATCAGTGTTTGAATGATAGCATGGCTGTGGTGTCATATCAATGTATGCTCTCGCTGTTTGCTGATATCAAACTGTGGTATGAGGACCACTGTGGGTTAATCTTTGTAGTGATACTCACTCCTTTCTTTTTATTTAGACCTGGTTTAATTCTGGGATAGTTGAATATTTGTATATAATCCCAGCAGACTGTTTTAGATTATATCTAATATATATCATGTAATTATCCTTGTAATTACAAAAGGTTTTATGTAAGATTTATGTTTTGTAATTTAAATCTGACATCACAAAAGTATTTTGGAATTTGAATAATGTATTTTGTAACTGCAGCATTTTGTCCAGGTTCCTTGCCACCGAGGACTCCTTCAGGACCATCGCATTCAGTTTTCGAGTTGGCGTGTCCTTGGTGAGCCAGATCACCCCCCAGGTAGCGACGTCCATCTGGGACTGTCTAGTGGACGACTTCATGGCTGTGCCTTCAACTGAAGACTGGCGGTGCATTGCAGAGGGATTCCAGGAGCGCTGGAACTTCCCTCTCTCCCTCACAGTAGAGGTTGTATCTGCGCTCCATGGAGCTCCGTCCTGAAATTGCGGAGAAGTGTGTGAAGGCAACGTGTGTTCTCCACAATTTTCTGTGCTGTTTGGACAAGAGAGGGCACCTGCTGTGAGGGGTGTGGCACCTGCTGTGAGGGG